ATACTTCCATACAACAAATATAGTTGACCTATTGCTCATAGTATAAGAAAAACAGACCAAAACACAAAAACTTAACACTAAGCACTGAACCGTGAAAATGAGGTCATGGTCAAATAAAACCTGTGAGGCTGACATTTACATCATAAAATATTTCCATACACCAAATATACTAGACCTAGTGCTTATAGTATCTGAGATATGGACTTGACCACCAAAACATAACCTTGTTCACTGATCCATGAAAAGAGGTCGAGGTCAAGTGAAAACTGTCTGACGGGCATGAGGACCTTGCAAGGTACGCACAAATCCAACATAGTTATTCTATTACTCATTATAAGAGAGAAATTAACATAACAAAAAATCTTAACTTTTTTTGAAGTAGTCACTGTAGTAGTAGAACCATGAAAATGAGGTCAAGGACAATGGCCAAGTGACAGACAGAAACTTCGTAACATAAAGCATCTATATACAAAGTATGAAGATAAAGCATCCAGGTCTTTCACCTCCTAACATATTAAGCTTTTTAGAAGTTGGATAACGCCGCCGGATCACTATTCCTATGTCGAGCTTTCTGCAACAAAAGTCGCACACTCGACAAAAATCACACGTTCAGAAAACGACATCAAAGGAAATAAAATGACGGCAAATGTTTGTGACATTTTTTCATCTCAACTTTCTCGATCATTACTAATAAAACATAGAATATTACATGCTGAAATTTATATGGTGGATAGTATAAACTATTAGGATGCTCCATGTTGTCTATTTATAAGTTTTGCTGCAATTCATGATTTATCATTTATTACACGGACGTTGGACGCATTACTAGAGAAGAAGTGTTAAATGAACATGCTGTACACCTTATAATCGTTCAATAGACTAAATATAGTTGACCTATTGCTTTTAGTTTCTAAGAAACAGACTTCACCAAGAAAACTATACATTGACCAATGAACAATGAAAATGAGGCCAAGGTCAGATGAACCATGCCAGGCAGATATGTACAGCTTATAATACTTCCATACAACAAATATAGTTGACCTATTGCTCATAGTATAAGAAAAACAGACCAAAACACAAAAACTTAACACTAAGCACTGAACCGTGAAAATGAGGTCATGGTCAAATAAAACCTGTGAGGCTGACATTTACATCATAAAATATTTCCATACACCAAATATACTAGACCTAGTGCTTATAGTATCTGAGATATGGACTTGACCACCAAAACATAACCTTGTTCACTGATCCATGAAAAGAGGTCGAGGTCAAGTGAAAACTGTCTGACGGGCATGAGGACCTTGCAAGGTACGCACAAATCCAACATAGTTATTCTATTACTCATTATAAGAGAGAAATTAACATAACAAAAAATCTTAACTTTTTTTGAAGTAGTCACTGTAGTAGTAGAACCATGAAAATGAGGTCAAGGACAATGGCCAAGTGACAGACAGAAACTTCGTAACATAAAGCATCTATATACAAAGTATGAAGATAAAGCATCCAGGTCTTTCACCTCCTAAAATATTAAGCTTTTTAGAAGTTGGATAACGCCGCCGGATCACTATTCCTATGTCGAGCTTTCTGCAACAAAAGTCGCACACTCGACAAAAATCACACGTTCAGAAAACGACATCAAAGGAAATAAAATGACGGCAAATGTTTGTGACATTTTTTCATCTCAACTTTCTCGATCATTACTAATAAAACATAGAATATTACATGCTGAAATTTATATGGTGGATAGTATAAACTATTAGGATGCTCCATGTTGTCTATTTATAAGTTTTGCTGCAATTCATGATTTATCATTTATTACACGGACGTTGGGCGCATTACTAGAGAAGAAGTGTTAAATGAACATGTTGTACACCTTATAATCGTTCAATAGACTAAATATAGTTGACCTATTGCTTTTAGTTTCTAAGAAACAGACTTCACCAAGAAAAATATACATTGACCAATGAACAATGAAAATGAGGCCAAGGTCAGATGAACCATGCCAGGCAGATATGTACAGCTTATAATACTTCCATACAACAAATATAGTTGACCTATTGCTCATAGTATAAGAAAAACAGACCAAAACACAAAAACTTAACACTAAGCACTGAACCGTGAAAATGAGGTCATGTTCAAATAAAACCTGTGAGACTGACATTAACATCATAAAATATTTCCATACACCAAATATAGTAGACCTATTGCATATAGTATTAAAAAAAAGGCCAAAACTCAAAAACTTAACTTTGACCACTGAACCATGAAAATGAGGTAAAGGTCAGATGACACCTGCTAGTTGGACATGTACACCTTGCAATACTTCTATACACCAAATATACTAGACCTAGTGTTTATAGTATCTGAGATATGGACTTGACCACCAAAGCATAACCTTGTTCACTGATCCATGAAAAGAGGTCGAGGTCAAGTGAAAACTGTCTGACGGGCATGAGGACCTTGCAAGGTACGCACAAATCCAATATAGTTATCCTATTACTCATTATAAGAGAGAAATTAACATAACAAAAAATCTTAACTTTTTTTGAAGTAGTCACTGTAGTAGTAGAACCATGAAAATGAGGTCAAGGACAATGGCCAAGTGACAGACAGAAACTTCGTAACATAAAGCATCTATATACAAAGTATGAAGATAAAGCATCCAGGTCTTTCACCTCCTAACATATTAAGCTTTTTAGAAGTTGGATAACGCCGCCGGATCACTATTCCTATGTCGAGCTTTCTGCAACAAAAGTCGCACACTCGACAAAAATCACACGTTCAGAAAACGACATCAAAGGAAATAAAATGACGGCAAATGTTTGTGACATTTTTTCATCTCAACTTTCTCGATCATTACTAATAAAACATAGAATATTACATGCTGAAATTTATATGGTGGATAGTATAAACTATTAGGATGCTCCATGTTGTCTATTTATAAGTTTTGCTGCAATTCATGATTTATCATTTATTACACGGACGTTGGGCGCTTTACTGGAGAAGAAGTGTTAAATGAACATGTTGTTCTGATCTTAAAATGTATGATAATGACACGCATACTCTGTATAATGAATCCAATTTAAGGTATAAAAAATTCAGTGCCATGAGAAAATTGTATGTGTATGTGAATAAAGTAATTGCCTCCTTTTTTATCACTGAAATATAATGTGTAATGTTTTTTTTTTAATTTAAGATGGAGACAATTATAATTGAAGGAAGAATTTTTTATACCATATACATTTCAAATAATCAAAATATTCGCAACTAAAACGCATTAAATCAATACGTAGAAAATATTGCCTTACATTTGTTATAAAGTACCAGTACCTATAATTCAGCGATAATACTCTATATTGATAGTTCATCTTTTTCATTCATGGAGAAATAAGAGATTTCGTTAAAGTGTACTAATGGAAATATCTGACAATGATAGATAACCGTATGTCAAACATGTATTGAAAAATACATTTTCCCCATGTATGATCATTAAAAGGACACAAGCTTCGATTAATACCTAAATAAATGAAACTAGATTGTTTTGGGTTCAAACATTTGAAGAGTGGAATATGAAAACAATTATGCTTCGCTATAAGCAGTCACTTCGGTTTAATTTTGTCAAAATATGCAAGAACCACCGTTGGAATTATTTGCTTACAAGTCAATATTTCAATCTCATTTTAACCCGTACCAATGAAAACTTTGATTTAGATAGGTTGCACCTTTGTTAAGCAAGTTGTCAGCATGTCCATTCATTAAAAAAGTAGAAATATAGAAGCACCCTGTTTCAATTTTGATGACTGATCCTGACCAAAAAAAATCATTCGCATACATGTTAGAAAATATAAAAACGATGATTAACATATATATTTTTTTTATCTATAACAATAATTGAACCGACCTACACCTACTCCATGCACAAATTGAATTAGCCGTATTAGGCACAACATTTCGGAATGTTCTAGTTGTTTTCATTATCTTCATCTTCTTGTTTGATTTGGTTAATCATGTTTATTATCATCGTTAGAAAACAACATTTATATTTAGGTTGATGTATTCTTCATACTATTAGAATATGAAATATCCAATGAAGAACGCTGCGTGTTTTGACTCATATTTCCATGTGCCTTTTGGTTATATGGCTCCTTATGTTTTTATGTATATTATATCATTGACTTTCATATGTTATGGTTTGAGCGTTCCTGGTAAAGGCATATCTAAAAGCGATTCGGGCGCACGAAATTATTTCTGCAATTTTTTATATGCCCTGTCCATGTTTTTTTAAAGAAAAATAAATCGTATAATCTTATATTGAACTGTACAAAATTTAACATGGCAATTAGTCTGACAACAACACTTTACAATAGCATAAAGTTGTTATAGATAAGTGTAATTTTTCTTCAAAATCTACCGACTGGGGTTTGAGTGCAGGTTGCGTGTCACATGAGATAGAATAAATCATATAACGTTAAATTAAAGATCGACTTGACTTAAGATTAATAATAAAATTAAATATCAGGAATTATTATAAAGACGATGACATGTGTATGAATTTTCCATGGTAATCAGTGGCGGATCCAGAAATTTTCATAAGAGGGGCCCATTGACTGCCTAAGAGGGGAGATTTATCATCCTGTTACTTTAAACTAATTGATTTAGTGAGTCACGTGTCAACAATTATTAGTCCGGGAGTGTTTAAAACAACTTCTTGCTTCACAAAAATTGCAAAATTTGAATCATCTTTCCAAATGGAAATCTGCCATTTTGACAACTGTATGCTTTACACATATATTCATACCCCAAAAAGTACAATGATAAATTGACAATACATAAAGTTAATCTTGTTTCTATATACTAAATTATCACTGTATAATTCATATCTCTACAATAGTATCACTTTTTGATGATCAAATTCATTTTTACCTGTGTTCTATTTTTAGGTGGAAATATAGATACCTCTTATCGACCTTGATATATCGTGTGTGGATTACGTCATAACAGGAACAGTTTTATTCATAACAGGGATAACAAAATGGCTGAATGCCCAACCAGTAATAAAGAAAGTGATATTGTTAAGTGCGGAATTTGTCTTTCAGCTTTTACCAAACCCGTTTTACTGAACTGCTTTCACATATTTTGCACACCGTGTGTTACTAAATTGGCCAAAGGTAAAGAGACATTGATTTGTCCGTTATGTAGGGCAGTGCAAGTATTTCCAGAAAATGGTGTTGATGGTTTAACGCTTTATCCGTACGTGGAAGAGGAAACTCCGCCAGATACAAACGTTATGATTATATGTCAGATGTGTGACAATGACAAGGTCGCAGTTTCTAGTTGTATCGATTGCAACAGTAAGATGTGTTTTGAATGTTCTGCATATCATCTTAAGCACAAATTATTTAAGACTCACAAAACTGAAAAAATAGAAATTGAATGTACTAAAATTCAATCACTAGCAGCAAAAAACATTGAAAATTTCACGTGTGAAACGCACAGTGAGGAACTTTCTCTGTACTGTGTACCTTGTAATAGAGCAATTTGTAAGGAATGCATTACACAGAGTCACACATTTCACAAAAGTGAGCCAATTATCTTTCAAGCTCAGAGAAGGAGAGACCTTTTGCGATCGGCTATTGGCACAATAAAATCGAAGATAACTGGAATAGACCAAGAAAAAGAAATGTCGAATATAGCAGAAAATAACTATTATAAACTATGTAGACAATGGAAAGAAGAAATTAAAACACAGGCAATGAGATCGAAAGAAACTGTGTGCAAAATAATTGACGTTTTAGCAGATACAAATTTGCAAAAACTTGAGGAAATACAGAAACAAGATATAAAGTCGATTAATAATTTTCAAGATGAACTTGAAACAAAGAAGTTGTCCTTGCATTGCTTGCTGAGGAGCACTGCCGACATAGTAAACCGAAGTTGCGATGGAAAATTACTGAATGAGTATACATGCCTTTACCAAACTTTAAATAATTCTGCTACACAGGGCAATCAGTTAAATGTTTTTGCCCCACATTTCTGCTTTGGTCATCAAATTGAACACAAATATATCGAAAAATGTTTTGGCCTGATAAAGAGGGGGGACCACCCTAACATAATTGGTGCATTAGATTCTTGCAATTATTCACTACCAGCTATCGTGGACGTTACTGAATTAACGAGGGTCAGGTTTTTTAGTATCAACAATATACAAAGCTTATTTGGTGTCTCTGACGATAAGACGTGGATACTTGTTGGAAATTCATGGAACCCGGAACATCGTTTAATTCTTTATTCCGCATATAGTTTAGATCCAGTTTATGAGGTTCAAAGAGATATTGATATCAAGCAAATACTACGGGTGACACAAACACATCTTTGGGTAAAGTGTGATGAAAGTTTCAAGAAAATAAGCATATCTAAAAAAAGGAGACATGACGAGACAATTGTTACATTTACTAAGTTCAGGAACGTAACATGTTCCTTGCTACAAAACAACCATATTGTTTGGTATTCTGTTAATACTAAATGTTTTTACGAGATGAATATTAATACAGAATGGCCTGTCGCTGTAAATGAAACAACAGTTAAAACCATCCGCGCTGAACAAACACTTGCTAATCTTATTACCACTGTACCCTTCAGGATAACTGATACCATTTCAAACCAATTCGTATTGACATGTAAAGATAAAGTAATCACACTTGACAGAAACTTTAAGATGTGCAACTTTCATGAAAACATAGGTTCAGACTTTAGAGGCATATGCCAAGATCCTTATGGAAATATATTCATAGCTGATTATAATATGAGCAAAATTTGTCTGTTTAATTCCAGTGGTCAATATTTACATGACGTTTTCGTCCAGGAAATATCAAAACCAATTAACATCACAAGAGATTCTGTTGGAAATATTTGGGTACAGGAAAGTGGAAACTCTGTACAAATATACTCATATCTCTAATTCTTACATTAAATATACTAATTAAATGGATGTAAAGGCGTTTCTGTTTACCCGGATCAACATGTATGTTTTGAACACACGTGCTTTATTTTCATTGAACTTGTGGACTAACACAGAAAATCCGATTCTTCCCGTTGTTTAGCCAAAAATTTCAGAAGGCAGTGTCTTCTTTTACTGTTGGCAAATTCAAAAATAGGTTCTTTAACTACATTGACTACTCGTGCCTCTATCAATTCATGCTTGCAAGGACCGTTGCTAGCGGGACATTTGTCTTCAAAAATGTTTTCCAGATCGGATATATCGAAGTCGCCAAATGTACACAATAAACTGCTAACGAACAGATAGAAAATAAATAACATTAGGCGCTCAGTTCCCTTTTGGTGGAACAGAAATTAAAACCAGTATTTGTGCAAAAAAAATAGAGAAACGTCCGACAATGAAGCAAAGGCACTTGAGGAAGGAACATCTCGCACTATACATTAATGAATTATATTCACATTGAAATACAACCGCACTGTTTTCAGCAAACGAGTTATTTATCAATGAGAGATTGAATGTTTGTATTTAAAATACATGTTAATTGAGTGTGTGAAGTTTAATCTGGATTCAGTATTACTTAATAATAAATCAGTTGTGATATGTGGAGTTATCATAAAGTTATAGGGTTATTTCTTTGATTATGAACATGCTTTAGACTTAGCCTGGATAAGAGTATTTTGACAACGTTTTCAAATTATCTTATACATTTTCATTACATCAAGCAGTTATCAAAAAGCTTACAGCTGAATGTCTTGCATTAAAAAAAATCGTTATTTTCAGACAAAATAAATGTACATGCATATCAAAGTAAATTATAAATTAATATCTTTGATGAATTTGTATTTGATAACTGTATTCAATCAAATAATCTTATACTGCAGAGATTTGGATTCTGTTGATCTGTTATAAGCAAATGTTAATATTGAATCAATATATGCTACGTAGAACATGCAAATTAAACATGCTATATTTTTTTTTGTAAATATGTTCCAAGTGTACAGTTCGTTTATTGAATTCTAGTAGCATATTTTCTTAATTTATTAACTTTATTTTAATAGCAATTAATTGAATGTTTGTAGCTATATCTAAACGACGAATAGAATCAATCAAAAATAAACATGATATAAGAATTTGTGCAAAATTTTATACATTGAAGTATGTTTAAACTTACTTTTATTTATATACATTTTTTTCTGTCATTATAGAAAAATAATATCGAATGTCAATCTTTACAATCTGAATTATTACAGACTAAATTTAATAGTGCCTTAAGCATGTTATGGTGTATGTCGCTTTTTATATATTAATGATCTAATTTTTGGTAGTCTATGTTCCAATAAAATTACTTGATTTTATTTTAAACTTATTATATACAGGATAACATGTGTCCTTGCAATTATATTACCGCAATAAGCCTGGAAATGTCATGGCGGGTCACATATGTCTTCTTTTCGTCTAAAAGAAATAATCCACACTGCTTTTCAACATAAAAATGGTAGCATACGCGATAAATTTGTTACTTTGGGATACCAAACGTCATATTTTGTTAATAGTGAACAAAAAGGTAACCATGCTTTACAGAGGAAAAAGTGATCAGTATGCTGGAGTTTCCTATTGACAACATATTTGTGGAATTTGGAGGTAGACTTTTTCCAACAAATTGTCGGCATTCCTATGGGAACGACCTATTCTTATTTTCATATGAATCGGAGTTCCTTTAGACACTTATCAAAAACAAAAAGATCAAAGAAGCCAGGTCATTTAATTTCACATTCAGATATATTGATGATGTTCTTTCCATTAACAATCCAAACTTTTCTGATTGGGTTCTTATATATCCCCCCCGAACTAGAAATTAAAGAAACAACAGACACGGCTTCCTCCGCCTCATTTTTAGACTCATACCTCGAATTTGACATACACGGTCATCTCAGTACAAGAATCTTTGACAAACGAGACGATTTTAATTTTGAAAATATCAATTTTCCCCACCTAAGTAGCAATATACCAATTTCATCTGCACCAGTTGTTGGCATGATACGGGTTATGTTCTTCTCATATATTTTATGATGGTATGATACTAAACCCCTAACGGGAGGGATTGTACTTGATTTTCATATGATGAAGACATAATCTTTCAATCAGTTTAATTGAGGTCTGGAGCTGGCATGTTAGTAACTGCTAGTAGTCCTTTGTTCATGTATGTATCATTGTCATTTTGCTTAGTTTCTTTTGTTACCTATTCTGACATAGGACTCGGACTTCTTTTAAACTGAGTTTTACTGTGCGTATTGCTATGTGTTTCTTTATTCTACATTGGCTAGAGGTATAGGGGGAGGGTTGAGATCTAACAAAACATGTTTAACCCCGCCGCATTTTTGCGCCTGTCCCAAGTCAGGAGCCTCTGGCCTTTGTTAGTCTAGTATGTTTTTTAGTTCATTTATATGTTTTGGAGTTTAGTGTGACGTCCATTTTCACTGAACTAGCACACAATTTTAGTTAGGGGCCGACTGAGGACCACCTCCGGGTGCGGGATTTTCTTGCTGCATTGAAGACCCATTGGTGGCCTTCGGCTGTTGTCTGCTCTTTGGTCGGGTTGTTGTCTCTTTGACATATACCCCATTTCCATTCTCAATTTTATTAGTAATTTGGTAATTATCAACTATCAGTGTGAAAACACCTCCCAATTTTTGTTTTCAACACAAATCTTTGGAACTTCACAGAAACTTAGGCATATGATGCGAAGTGATCATTCTGAATTCAGAAGTTGAAGAAAAACTACGACACCATGGCAGAATGCGAAAAACGACGACGTTCACAAAACAATACATAGATAAACAAAAGACAACACAAACCAGGTATGAAGACCCATTGGTGGCCTTCGGCTGTTGTCTGCTCTTTGGTCGGGTTGTTGTCTCTTTGACATATTCCCCATTTCCATTCTCAATTTTATATTGGATATACATTTCCCAACTTATTCGGTATTCAAGAGCTTGCAGCTCCTACTTAGACTTTGTAAGACGTCAGCAGTGTCTGAGCAGAAAGTTGATGAACCAGGGGTATGTCAAAGAACGTCTCGTCCTTTTTCTAAAAATGTTAATCGGAAGGTACCAAGAGCTTGTTGATAAATATTCCGTATCAACTTGTCTTCACAAATAATACACGATGGTCTTGAAGTATAGATTCTTGGTACTGACGTTGTGTATCATCTTAATAACGTGTTATAATATTCTTTTATTTGTCTTTATGAATATTACTTTTACTGTTTAGTCTGTTTTTGATGATATCCATTTGACGTGGCTCTGTACTTATACATCCCGTCATTGTGTTTTTGTTCTATGGTAAAATTTGTGTATTCGTGTCTTTCATTTTTGCTAATGTGCTTTGTCTATATGCCTTTTGTGTTTCTTTGTTACATAGCGTGGATCTGTACTGATACATCCCGTCATTGTGTTATTGTGCTATGGTAATTTTTTGTATTCTTGTCTTTCATTTTTGCTAATGTGCTTTGTCTATGTGCCTTTGTTTTCATAGTGATTAAGATTATGACACAATGTTGACTGTTGTACCCATATTTTTGACAATTTTTACCTATTTTGTCTGTTTGTTTTGTTCATACATCGTTGTCAATATAATAGAATTGTATGCGACTCTCATACATGTGAGAGGTTTGACTAGCTGTAAACCCAGGTTTGATCCACCATTTTCTACTTAAAGAAGCACTAGCTGTCAAATTCATGTTCACCGATTTGACTCAAATTCTCATACTTGATTTATAACATAATAAAACGCATATCCGAATTACAATAAGTCTGAAATAAACAGTTAAGAAAGCATGTACTCGATAATATATATCAGAATTTCGTGTGTATTTTAATTAACTATCGAGATGACTTCCGAATATTGCCGATGGTCACATAACCCGATATAAACATTGTAATTTGGATATACGTTTAAGTATGTTATAAATCTAATATGAGAATGCGAGTCAAATCGGTGAACATGCATTTGACAGCTAGTGCTCCTTTAAGAAAATGTCTGTGCCAAGTCAGGAATGTGACAGGTGATATCCATTCGTTTAATGTGTTTGAGATTTTGATTTTGCCATTTGATTTGGGACTTTCCCTTTTGAATATTCCTCGGAGTTCAGTATTTTTGTGATTTTACTTTTTGTAGACGAGCCGCCCGTCTGACGTACCAAATTATAACCCTGGTATATTTAATTAGCGTTTTTACAACCACTGTTGGTGAGGATTCTCCCTGGGGGTACAACCAGCACAGTAGGCAGCACTTCTGTGTTGGCACGAATAGCATTGATATGGTCATATTTATAAATTATGATAGGCGAGATACCAAAGGGACATTTAAACTCATGTCGAAAATTAACTGACAACGCTACGCCCAAAACCGGAAGTGATCTCAGTTACTTTGAAAGGGTAAGGAGATCCAACTCCACACGTGCCACCCCTCGTGTTCAAGTTCATTCAAGTTTAACCCCGGTAACCAGTCTAATTCGATAGCTCACATTTGAGGAAAAGAGGACGGGATTGTGGTTATGACAATTGGAGCATTACCGTCGTAATCTGGCCTTTGTTAGTCTTGTATGTTTTTAAATTTTAGTTCATTTATATATTTTGGAGTTTAATATGACGTCCATTTTCACTGAACTAGTACAAATTTTTATTTAGGGGCCAGCTGAGGCCCACCTAGGGGTGCGGGATTTTCTCGCTCCATTGAAAACCCATTGGTAGCCTTCGGCTGTTGTCTGCTCTTTGGTCGGGTTATTGAATGTCTCTTTGACATATTCCCCATTTCCATTCTCAATTTTATTCCATAACGGTCATACAACTCTTGGTTTAATAGCTTCCTTGTGAGTAGCAAAACTATATCACGGAAATCATGATTGGAAATGCAAGCTCTGCAGTATCTTATCAACTTGAAATATACTCCATATGCAAGCTCTGCTGAAATATTGCTACATACAAATTGAAAGTTTATAATTAAACGGTTGAAATCAAATTTTTTTTCTTAACCTACCTTCATTGTCAATTTCTAGATGTAAGTCACGATATGAAGCAGACTTATAATTAAATGTACCTATTGTTTCCTGTATTTCAAGTTCGTTTTGATAGATGCGTTCATCATAAGTCACCAAACATTGAATCATTTAATGGGAAGACAACATTCATTAGTGAAAAGTGAAGTAAAATGATCATGCTAGCTTCTTTTAATTCTTGCCCAGAAGCTACTGTATGAAGGCAGCCTCGTATGAATAAGGAACAATTCAGCAAGAACAGTAGCACAGTTGGGTCCCGTGGGAATGACGATTATTTGTTGAAAAATCAACGAAAAATCGTGACCTCCGAACAAATAAAGAGTCGATCAAGAATCAACCATCTTGATAATATCAGTTTCATAGAATTTTTTGTTTGAATCAGAGTTTTTTTTTTACAAGGTACGATGTATCCGTCCTTGTAACTGATAAAAATAAGTTAAAATGAGTCTGTAGTTTATTGTGAATTGATGTAAGAAATGAAACTGCATCACTACAGAACAAAACAACACAACAAAACATGCACCATTATCTAATTATAGTATTATGAGATCAATGTGTTAAACGATATTTTAGAGTGTCAGTATTTCACGTTCCTAAGTAATATTAATTCTTAATCTGCAGTTCCTTTTTCTACAGAATAAATGGTATAACAGCTTTTCTGTTCCTTGGGTAATCTTCAAATTTTTGTAGGTACCATCTGCAAAAAGATAGGTTATATATTAAAATTAATATGTCCCTTAGGCAAATTTGGTTTATTTTTCAATCAAATAACCAATTGGTGGGATGTGTAATGAAAAACAGACGCATATTATAAAATGATAACGATTAAGTGTGTGTATTTGTATCTAAAAGAGACTGGTGGTTTTTGGTGGTTTTGTTGGGGTTTTTTGTTGTTTTTGTTTTATCTTGGACATATTATCACAGATATCCATAAAGTATGTAGACAACAATATGACGACTAACATTCCGTTGAAGATACATTATTTACAATCGAGTTATTGCAAAAAAATAAGTTAAAACAATTATAAATTGTATAATCTTTTTTGCAGAATTATTGATGTGCAAACTGGGCCATTTATGATCACTCACAAACGAAAACTTACTTTACTAGGTTTTTTGTTTTTTTTTTTCAAAATTTGGGTGTGGGTTAAATTGTCCCTTTACACTCCAATGAACTCCTGAAAATGTGATTATTTCTTTAGTATTATACTATACCTGTGATGTTGTAAAGCACGTGGACCTATATTACAAGTGGTAAAAACAGCAAAAGCTAAACTTGGTAATGAGGGACATAAAACAAAGAATCCCCACCATTCTAGAATCTCACCAAAGAAATTAGCACCTGAGATGTAGTTGAATATGCCACCTGTAATACAGATTTGTATATTAGCATAAAAAAATATGAAACATAGCCGCTCGGCTTAAAACAAGAAATCTGAAGCACCGGAAATTACACAGAACATTTTTGCGTGCATGTTACAATTGGACGATTTTTAACTGTTTGGGAAATTTAAGCTATGCATCATGGCAGCTGAGTGGAACAAAGTTTTCAATTTAAACAGATATAACAGAAGCTTCGGATAAAACTAAACATTTGTATTTAACAATATGTGCTGAACCGTACTTTGACCTAAAATTGTTTAATTTTTATACATTGTGACTTGGATGGAGAGTTGTCTTATTGGCATTAATACCACATCTTCTTATTTATTTGAAAATAAAATTCTACGAGTTTCCTTTATTTAACATTTCTTATTATTCGGTTATATAGAGTAGATGTTTTAAATATTCATGAACTTTTATAAATCATACATAGACTATCATTAAATAAAGACAAAGGTCCAGCCACATTTTATGTGAATGATTTGCTCATTAGTGCAGCTGATTGGTCAAAAAGTGTTCAATTTAAACAGGAAAGAGAAACGAAAAATTATAACCTCAAGTTTCTTATTCGTTTGCATGTGCTAATAAATTGACAAATACAGTACCCATTAAATACTGTTTTAAATTGTTTTGTTGTTAATATAGATCAGCAGTGATGTGTCATACTATTGCCTGGCAGTGTGTCAATTGAGCTTCGTGTAGCCAGATAGGGCATTTGTCATTTAATCACCATCATCATTCAGTTAATAATGGAAGACAGGAAGTCGTTCAATTTGATCGTGGGAATGGGTTGAGAAAAGTACAATATGCTCATCAATATAATCAGTAAACATGGTAATGATTTACATTTATATTTCTAAACGCTGTGCATTCAAAACAGTAACAAAAGCAACATGGCTGAAATCAAAATGTCAATAACTTACCACGAGGTATCTTGTATCCAGTTTCACCTGGTTTCCTCAAATTTCTCAAAACATGGTCAGAATGAATGTTTATTACCATACCAGTGAAAAACATGATTAAACCTAAGAAAATAAGAATACTGATAATGATAATTAAAATAAATCGTCTTAGCATAACGATGGCCAGACATGCACTTTGAACTGAGAGACTTCTAATAAACTAAGGTTCCAACTGCATCAGGCAAAGTTGACCTTAGATTATTATGGCTTATCTCTTATGTTCCTTTTCGTCGTATATATTATTTATGCATCTCTGATTTTCAAATGTTTGGCTTAAGCATTCCTGAAGAAGATAAATCCTTAAAAAGTACTTCGAAAGCACGAAATGTTATTTTCATTTTTTCTTCAAAACTCAAAACTCTTCAATGTCAAGTTCACCTCAAGATCTCTTTTGAATACTAGTATATGGAATCATTTGAAAAAAAATCTAGTTAACAGAAAAACTGAAACAAAATGAAAATAAAATCGCAATTATCATATAATGCTATAACTTTCCTCAAAATAAACCAAAACGAAGAGAATAACAGATTATTAGAAGTTTGCATAACATTAGTTTGGTTTATTGTTAAGCGATCAAAAGCCTAACGTGCTAAAATGCGTCGATCGGAATGAAGGGCACGAATTCGACTGACAATGGAAACTGAAAGCATGTTGGATGAAGGGCAGCAATCTTGCCTTGCAAAAGGCCACATACTGACACCTTCAACTTGCACAGATCATTGTATTCTCTCTAAAGGAGGCATCGGATTTAATGTCCCCATTCCGACCAGACGAGTTTACGGATTTATACATCCGCACATTCAAATAAATGGCCAACTTAAGCAAAAAGCGCACTTCCTGACAGGAAAGGTAGAACTGATGTCCACATTTCTATACCAAGGTCAATCTTTGTGTTCCAGTTTTAAAGATAATTTGTTAAAAAGAATAGAGAATGGAAACGGAAAATGTCTAAAGTATATAATATAAGTTCCAAAATAACATTTTATCAATATTGTTAACGACGAAAAAAAGTTCGGATTTTTATACCTTCGTTGCAAGAACAGTTACTTTCCTACTGTCAGTTACTTTCCTACTGTGTTCGTGAGTCAACAGGTATCCAAATAATGACCGAGCGTGACAGAAAACGACTTACCTGTAATAAACTGTGGTGATGTAACACATTTGTGGTCATCTCGTGGGGCGTGAAAGAGAAGATATCCTCCTTGTAAATAACCATTGACTACACAGAATAAAAAAGCCATTGCAAATGTTACAAATGGTGTTGGTTTTCCTCCTCTGATCAGGAACGAGAAAATAAAAGTTCTGAAAAGAAAGTTTTATTTTTGTATTTAATACGATTTGAAATTATCTTCTTTTCTGATGCATGTGTTTTACAGTTTCTGAGATAATAAAAAAACAAGGGTAAAATTAGTAAAAATGGTGGAATTTTAAAGACGACACCATTATCTTGGTTTTGGCAAGGGGCAAAACTGATCACAACAGAGAGAAGAGGAGTCAAATTTATTTATCTGTTTAAGAAGCAATTAGCTCTTGAGGATAGTAATATAAAAGACAACAAAAATAGGAAAGACTGAATCAGGTTTTAAAACTACGATAAATTCCACATATACAATAAATCAAATAACTTCGTAAGAAAGTGGTGTTTTAATCAATGATTGTTGTTTGCTATGGTAAACCATCCAGTGACAAACAGTTCATGTATCTTCAGGTAGGATACGGGGAAAAAACAATAACTATTATGCAAGTTTTTAAAGAGTGCAAGCTAGAAAGATAAACCGAAAGTATGTTTTCAACTGGAACAGCTGGAAAATAATGACATTTTTGAGAACATGTCCACTGTAACTGGGTACATTTATTTTGGATTAGTTCGTATAAGGATGTGAAAAAAATACCGTGCATTGATAAAAAACGTATAAATATTGGTGTGCATTTTGAAAAAAAAATAGATTCGAAATATAGCGGGGGGAGGGGGGTTAGGGGTGAGGGGGTTATAAGATGGTTAAAACTTTTGTATCCGCTGATAGTACATGTGTCTCAGAGTTAGAACAAAATTAAGAGTTCACATCTCTAATCCAATCGGATATTATATGCTTTAAAAAAGTCACAGTCTTAAATCTTTAATCATGCCATATCTCTGCTATGATATCTGCCATATGTGTGTCCTTGCCCGGTCAACAACAATTGTTCATCCACTGCTATAGTATATATTCATAATTCAAGGATGTCGGTTATCTTAAACTGTCTAGTCTAATATCAAATACCAACAGTGTTATCATAGTAACACTTTGATAAAGGGTACAAGTCCTCAAGATGAAGAAAAACAAAATATGTTGTAACATTTTGTGACGTTCAGAGGTGTTTATCATTGTTTTCATGGTCATGTTCAGTTTAGTAGAAGAATGGAATTATATCCTAGTGTTTTGGAATCAAATCCATCTCGGTTAAGATATACTTGCCATTTACTACATATTTAGGAATTTGGAGTTACTTATACAAGATGACTTGCAAGTGGGCGTTGTGAAACTTTTAAGAATAGTACATATGGGAATTTGAAAATTTATTTTACAAGTGGGCGTGTTGTTGTAAAATAAAATTTGCAAGTCAAATCAGAATTCGCAAGTGACTTTGTAGTGATTATTCTCTGCATAACTATTCATATGGAATAACTAAAATGGTCTGCGTGTGTCTATTTGTATGATTTGGAGATATCAAAATAAGGTAATTTTCCTTCAATTGCATTGTATAGATATAAGAAGATGTGGTATGAGTGCCAATAAGACAACTCTCCATCCAAGTCAAAATTTATAAAATTAAACCATTATAGGTCAAAGTACGGTCTTCAACACGGAGCCTTGGCTCACACCGAACAGTAAGCTATAAAGGGCCCCAAAAATTACTAGTGTAAAACCATTCATATACATGTATATTTATCGATTTATTTAATTCAAAACTGTATTGTCATTACATTAAAACTTAAGCATGTGATTAGACACAAACAAAAACAATATTATAATACAATATTTATAAATAAATATTTCCAGAGTACCCTGTCCTCAGTTCTGAAGACTGTTTCAAAAAGGATCCAAACTTAAATTTCCGAATGTATGATCTAGGATTGAGATTATGTCATTCTGTCTTTATCAGTTAAATATATAAATTGTGTATTTTTATTTATAAAAAAATATCAAATAATCCTGATATTTCACAATGCGTGTGGTGACTTCTTACAAATTTTCTTAACAGCTTTCTGAATTCACATTTGGAGGCATACGTATAACTTTAATCTGAAATATTTGTTTAATATTTTTATAAATATTAAGGTTAAAGTCATATGAAACTAGACTTGTAATTTAATGTTATCGTAATTAGTAAACCAATGCATGCATATACATGTTGTGATGTTACACTATTGTTTCAGAAAAAGGGTGAAGGTTTGGTACCATTAAAACGTTTAAACCCGCTGCATTTGTTTGCACCTGTCCTAAGTCAGGAATCTGATGTTCAGTAGTTGTCGTTTGTTGATGTGGTTCATAAGTGTTTCTCGTTTCTCGTTTTTTATATAGATTAGACCGTTGGTTTTCCCGTTTGAATGGTTTTACACTAGTAATTTTTTGGGGCCCTTTATAGCTTACTGTTCGGTGTGAGCCAAGGCTCCGTGTTGAAGACCGAACTGTGACCTATAATGGTTTACTTTTATAAATTTTGACTTGGATGGAGAGTTGTCTCATTGGCACTCATACCACATCTTCTTATATCTATATACATGTATACTTAACTAAGTCCTGTATGTACGTGTTTATACGCCCTTTTAATTCTATTGACGTGAGCTCTCTTCCGATTTTTTATAAATTTTTAAATTTAACGTTTTCGAGTAAAGGGGTTTTATTCATTGAAAAGGGGGGATTTTCCAGTTTTCGGACAACAACTCAAAAATGCTTTGCGTGGTGTTCGTGAAACTTTGGTGAATTGTTTATATCTATTGATGTAAGCTCCCTCTCGGTTTTTCTAAGTTTTAGGCTTTACATTTCCGAGTTATGGATTTCATTCATAAAAAAGGGGAGATTTTCCAGTGTGCGGAAAAGATCTCAAAAGTGCTTTGAACAGTTTTCATTAAACTTTGGTGACTGTTTTATATCTATTAAAATAGCCTCCCTTTAGTTTTTTTTTTATAAATTTCTGATATGACATTGAGGAGTTATGAAACTTTATTCTTTGAAAAAGCGATGGGCGTATCATGCGCTCATGGCACAGCTCTTTATTTATATTTATTACGAATCTATACCAAATTATATTATCGACCGATAATATTTCTTTCAGTGATTGTTGATCGTAAGCTAATTAACTTTAAGTTTTGAGTTTGTTGCCGAAGTTTACTGGATCGTGGCATTGATAAACAATCAACGTGGCAGAGCACATGCAAAACGTGACAAATAAGTGAATTAAAAGAGTCATATTTTTTTTAATATTTTCCATGCGTTTCCATTTGTTAATTAAACTTTTGCTTAACAGTTGTTAAATGATTTGTTGTATTCAATTTATTTCATTAAGAATTTGTTATTACTATATACCTTCCAGAGCACTTTTGTTTACATTCTTTCGCAGTAACGTTTTTCCCATCACACTTGCGCTGTGTGGTGGCCGAAGTTCTAACGAGAGGTCTCGTAGTTAAGATCACTGCATACGGGAAAATATCGGCGAATTAGTGTACGGGAAGACACTAATTCAATTCCAGTATACATTTATGAAATTTTGATAATACAAAGGATTATCTTTTATAAGAAAGTTCACGCACACTTGTTTCATAGTAAAACTTAGCCATTCAAGTATATAAAACATGTTCAACTTTTTTTTTATATGAAGTTTCATATGACTGTAAGGTCTCTTTGTCTGTTAGTTTATACTTCAAACAAATGTTTTGTTTCACGTTGAATGTTAGAAATACACCAGGAATTGAATAATTTGAATGGAGGTCAATTGTGTAACTTAACATTTACACGGGATTAGGATATTGAAATTGGATGTTACCAGGTTTCTCCCCCCCCCCCCCCAAAAAAAAGGGTATTCGAAGGGGCCTGATCTAATTTTCGTCATTTTTTACGAAATTAAAAAAAAAACATTCAAAGAAACTCACTCTAAATACCGATAACGTTATCAACAAGATCTTCGATCGTCTGTAATAAACTAATTAAAACATGTCCAATATCAGTGCTTCTTACGACATGAGCGCAAGCCCATTGTTACAGACTGTCGAGTCACTCGACCTTGTAAGTTGGCTTATATTATCAGTTTACTGTCACATTCTCTATAGTCAACAGTTTTTTTCTTCTCTCAAATAATGACCCGTGACATTTTTTCTTCTGTCAAAAAAATGACCCGTGACAACCAATACGCTCGGTATACTATAGGGGCCAGATGAAGCCCGCATCGGGTGCGATATTTTCTCGTTGAGTTGAAGACCCGTTGGTGGCCTTGCGCTTTTTTCTTCTTTTTGGTCGGGTTGTTGTCTCTTTGACACTTTCCCCGTTTCCATTCTCTATTCTATGCCTTTGACACTTTCCCCGTTTCCATTCTCTATTCTATGCCTTTGACACTTTCCCCGTTTCCATTCTCTATTCTATGCCTTTGACTCATTCCCCGTTTCCATTCTCTATTCTATGCCTTTGACTCTTTCACCGTTTTCTCTATTCTATGCCTTTGACGCATTCCCCGTTTCCATTCTCTATTATATGCCTTAACTCAGTTAACACAGATGAGCCTCCTCGTGGGGTTTTTGATTACGTGATTACTTGGCCGTTTTTATAGTGATTATTTGATTACCAGAACATATATTTCATCATAATTTGATTATTCGATAATCTAGGACTGTATTTTTGATTATTTGCTTATCTTGTTTAATAAAATAATTAATGATTATGTGATTAGATTGGCATAAAAAATGTGATTATGTGATTACTTGGACACCCCAACGAGGAGCCTCACAGATAATAGCGGATATGTTCCTAATGTTGTAACTACAATCCCGTCCCCTTTTCCCGAATGTGACCTACCGAATTAAGACTTATTACCGGGTATGTGCCAACATGAGCAACACGACGGGTACCACATGTGGAGCAGGATCTGCTTACATTTCAGGAGCACCTGAGATCTCCCCCAGTTCTTGGTGTGGTTTGTGTTGCTAAGTCTTTAGTTTTCTTTGTTGTGTTTTGTGTACTATTATTTGTCTGTTGGTCTTTTCCATTTTTGCCATGGCGTTGTCAGTTTATTTTCGACTTATGACTTTGAATGTCCCTCTGGTATCTTTC